TTGAATATTTCTTTATTTTTATATTATAAAAAATAATTATTGATCAGAATTATTGTTACTTTTATTCCAATTAGTGATAAAATATTTTTGTTCACATTAACTGTATTATTTAATTAATTTTCCAATATATGTTAAGTCTGTTAAATTAACAATATTTAGCAGATTTGTCCGCTCATCCATTCTTTTTCTAAAATGTTCAATTATAAATTCAAAACAACTGGAAATAAGCAAGATGTTTAAGAGCATTTGTTATAGTTATTTGTTTTATCAAAAATAAAAATTAACATAAGCTACTCTTATATTGAAATTTCGGCGAAGAGTTAATTTACATTATTCCGAAAAGATTGGAAAATTTTACAAAATTTATAGATGGATTAGAGCCAATTAGTTTGAAAAAGTTTGTGATACTTTAGGAAAATGCGTTAATTTTCAGAATTTTCAGTTTGTAAGTTTCAATTATGACAAAATTCTTATTTAAATTTCGCTCATTAGTTGCAAAAGTGACATAGCTCCAAAATTACTGTTTCTGAGTTATTTATATAGAAGTATGCTCTTAAAAAAATTCTCTCTCGTACAAAAACCCCGTTTATCTAGCTTGAAAATTGATGCTTACACATAATAAATTGCTATAAGGACCAAAACATATTAACTCTAAAAGTTTGAAATTCGATTATGGGTAATGTCAGTGTTGCCTTTAACATATGAATTGATTTTTTTTTCAATTTTAAATTACAATTTAAGATGTGCTCAATGAGATTGCCATACTACAATGTTAATCCTTTATAATCAGTATAATCCTGTTTTTACTAATTTTTATAGACTCATTAATCTTGTCAGTCTGTCAAGGTCACGGATCATTCTAGTTTTTGACAAGGTTAGAGACAGAAAATATTTTAGGCAATTGAAAGTGTCAAAAAATAATCAACTTAATAATTTTTTTTTTGTTTTTGATTTTTCACCACAAAATTCATAACAAATTCCAATTTTTGTGCTTCTTTTCTTCTTATTGTTTTTGGTTTCTGTATTCCTAAATACAAAAGTTTTGTTCCTTTTTCCATTAAAAATAAAAACATAAACGAAAGGAGGAAAACCACTTTAGAAAAGTTTCTTTTTTTTTTCATTTTGAGTTTTTCTTCATCCATTTTCTTTTTATTATTGCTTATAATTTGCACAATTCATAAATATTATGTATACACAAAACATATGTCAAAAGTGATACCATTACATATTATCAAAACATTTTTACACACATACACGCACACGAACATTTACAATTGTAATGGAAGAAAAAAAAGCATGCATAATATGCAGAGAATTTCTATCAAGTTTTTCAAATATAAGAAAAAAGAAAGGATATGGGAATATTTTTATTTTCATTTTTTTTTTCTATAAAAATTTCTATTTTTGTTATCATATAAAAATGATAATTGAGACAAAAAAATATTATGTGGGTGTTTGTATAGATATATTGTATATAGGTTGGCCAAGCAGGCAGACGGGGGGCAAGCAGGCAATTGGAAAACAAAATAAAAACAAATAACAAAAAAAAAACAACAATTTTTGATGAGATGCAGGAAAAAAGATAAAGTAGAAATTTTAGAGTAGAAATGAAATGATATAACGAGGATTTCAAGTGCGAGCACTTAAAAAAGGATAACAACTATACATACATACACATTTCCATATGCATATTTATATATATATATATTATGAAAACAATAATAACATTGACAGCAGCAACAACAGAAATAACAGAATAATGAAAGGCTTTTAGAATGGTAAAGTGAAATAAAAAAAAATAATAAAAAAAAAAACAAAGAAAAGAAAACCTTGTGTTTTGTTGTTTTACAATGCTTTTGCTTTCGTTATAAAATTTGTCATAATTTGTATGCGTGTATCCTTACATACACATATACACAATAATAATTCATTTACAAATACATTGAAGAATATGATCAAATATAAAGTTTCTTGTGTCAACTTTAGGATAAGAATTGTGGGTTTGAAGCTGATGATAAAATTTCTGAATTAAAATTTATTATTCAAGAGTGTTTTAAGGAAACAGTTTTAAACACCCTGTAGTCTAATTTCATATTAATATTTTAATTGCACAGTAATACTTTAAAGTTTTCCATTAAGATTTCCCATTTGCACATCATTTTGTATTTACAATTTCTGACAAGCTTTAAAGCACGCGCACTATCATCTTCTTGTCCAATTATTATATAAGGTAATTTCAATTACATTATAGAGTGAGGGTTACACGCATTAAACACAGTATAAAAGTGAGAAATCAAATAGCCCTGTTAATCTTAATGCTAAGTGTAACCGTACATTTATTAAGACGACGGCATATTTTCAAAATTTAATCTCATTTTAAGAACTTATTTATTACGAGAATATATGAAGAAAATCGAAAATGCGGGGCAAACTCCCAACATATCTTACAAGCTGCTCTGCATTTATTTGTATAATAGTACGGTAATACTTGTATTACAGACGATCGAACAAATCTGTCATACAGTTTAAAAATAATTTTTAGTATACATAAAATATAAGCATTACAAACATCTATACATACATGTAAAATGAAAAAATAATATATTTTTAACATATTTTTAGGCATTAAAAAGTTTATTCACATTTTATTTAAGGACTTTCGTTTAGATATTTTTTTTTTGTTTTGAAATTCAATTAAAATGAAATAAACTTTAATAAGGATGAATTTCAATTTTTAGGAAGAATCAAACGCAATAAAATGGAAGGTATGCAAAATCTTTTTCATTAATTGAATTTTTGAAAATTAAGTCTCAAGACTATATAAAAAATCCTTTAAATTGCTTAGTTTCGTTACAAAATATTCACAATTTATATACATTTGTATGTGTATAATATTATAGAAATATATGCAAATGATGTTTTGCCTAATAACATAGGAAGTTTACTATGTACGTGTATCGGTATATAAAGCAATGTATTTCTAATTACAATTTAATATTTTCAATTATTTTTAAGCATTATAGTTTTTACAAAATAAAGAATTTTGTTGTATATGAGCCTATACACTGCACATATATATTATTATAAAGTTGGTGTATGTATATTGCTGCATGTTTTGCTTTTATAGGTTAATTGAAATTGTTATACTTAAATTATTTAAAAATTCTTTAGAGAATTATTTGGAAAATTTATATTCATTTTATTATATTGATTATTTTTACTTTTTTAATAATTAAAAATTTTGTAATTTCTCTACAATTTTCAAATATTCTAACCTAAATAATTTCAAATTGTAAATTTTTCTTATTAATTATATTTGAAGAGGCAAAGGATTCTGTATTTTGAATTTTAATGTTTACAATTTTATTTTTGAATAAAGCATAAAATATTAAAAATTGTAGGCTTAATTTGTAGGGGCTTGAAATCAACTCCGAAATATTACAAGAAAATTTTAAAAGTTATTCAATTTTTTTAAATTTAAAACTGAAAACTTTAAGTTATATAAGAATCCTTTTATATAAGGTAAGTTACAAAATTGTTACTCGTTATTGGTTACTCCTTTCTCTTCGATTTAAAAATAGAGTAATTCGGATATTAATAAAAATTTTTTTGTAGGTAATCAAAGGAATTTAAAAATTTATCTCAAGTAAATCTCATTTTCGCCTTCTGTTTCCTCTCAGTTGTAGTTTTAAATGCTTCGTTGTTTATTGAAAGAGGTAATTCATAAGTTATAGAAGGAGTAATTCATGATTTTTTTTTAATGTAGGTAGGTATAGGAACCTTAATATATAAATTATATTTATTACATTGGTATTTATGACATTCAGTAACAAACTGTTGCCATAAGCACTTCTCAAAAAAAAAACTTTGTGTATAAAACAAGAAAAAAGAAAGACCCGTTCAACATTTTCCAATTGTTGTGCAACAAAAAACAATCAAATTTTAGTAACAACAACAAAAACAAGTATTAAAATCATAAATTTTTAATTTTATGAAAATTAAAATAAAAAACTTCGTTTATCCTTTGTAAATTTAATTATTTCATAAAAGTTCTTCTTTTAAACTTTAATATTAATTTTTGGAGAAAACAACGAAAAAAAAAACTTTTGTTTTATTTTTCACATCTTTTGTAGTCGAGATAAAAAAAAAATTTCTCTGATCTTATGAAAAAAAAAAATTTTTTTTTGTTTGAAAGTTTAAGGTTTTTTGTTCTTTTTTGTCATAATATTCGAAAGCACTGCTGGTAAAGAATGTTTTGTTTTATCTATATTAAAAACTTTTTAATTGAAGTACGAATCTAAATATTTAAGTAATAAAGACAAAAGAAAAATGTTACAAAGTTTTCGATATCAATCGCCTTAAATAACCTAATTTTGTAAAGGAATCCAAAAGTAAATAAAATTTTACGAATTGAAAATGAAAAGCCAAACGAATTTTTATGAATTACAAAGGCAGAGTCTAAATAATTTTGTTAAAAATATTAGTGAACTAGAATTTTTTTTGGAATTCTTGTATTAGATTACAAAGTAAAAACAAAAAATTTTCAAATGTGTCAGTTTTAAAAATTTTAACAATACCAAAATTTCTTAGAACAATTTTCATAATTTGTATAAAGAACAAAAAAATTAATTTTATTTTAATATTCTATATTATATATGAAAGTTTAAAAGGAAAATTTGGATCAAGTGAAGGCTAAATCAAGTGTGATTTTTTCATAATTTTCATAATTGAAGAAAACCAGGCTCAAAATACTAAGGTGGGAGAATTTCTCTACGCTGTCAACACGTACCATTTTAGTTAACAATTTAAAACCTTGTTTTCATTTACAATTAATTTTTAAAATACAAGATTCCATTGTAACTTTACTACTATTCTTAAATGACTCTAATGAATTTCACTTTGGAGCTTTTCATATTCTTAAATAAAATTTATAAGATAACATAAAATTAAAATCAAAACAATAATAGAAAATTTAGATTTTAGCTTTAATAATTACTAACCTCATAGAATGAAGGCGGTATATAAGTTGATATAACTTCAGCCATTGGAAAAGCAATACCCATTACAACCAATAATTTTCCATATAAAGCTGAAAATGTCGTTGCTAATGCATCACCTCTGAAAGTAAACAAAAAAAAAATTTATTAAATAAATTATTATTAAATAAAAAATTTTTACAAATAAATTTTTGAAGAAAAAGTAAAATTTTTTTTTTGCTTATTAAAATTTTAAACAGATATGGCAGAAGAAAACTTTAAGGAATGTTAAGTGGGAGTAATGGAAGCTCAAATATTTACATTTAAACTTCCATGAATTTCAGCAGAATATCAAAAATCAAATTGAAAATAAAAAACCTCTTAAATTATACATACATATACATAGGAACATGTATGCGTGTATGTATTGAATATGCTAGGCAAAGAGAGGACCAGGGAAAGAAAAAATCATAAAATTCAATTTTATGTCTAAACGTTTTCAAATGTAGATAAAAAAAATGAAACAAAAAAAGATGAAAAAAAATGAAAAACAAGAAGAGCAAAACACCCACACGATTTTATGTACAACCAGGTGCCAGGATAAATTTTACACCTAAATGAATCGAAATACACAAATTTTTACATATTTTTCTCGAAAATCGAATAAAATAAAAATTATTACTTTGGTTTTGGAATTATATTAGAGAAGAAATAAAAAAAAAAAAAAAATAAAAATACGCTTTGGATGCTTCACTCTTCATATATAGGTTCACAAACCTGTTATAGTTGTATTGATAAATTTTAATATGATGGAAGACGACGGAAACGAGATGAATAAAAAATTTTGCAAAAGGATATGCAAATTTACGTTTATAAATTTACACTGAATGGATTTGACGTACATTTATATACAAATGATTTCCTATGGGATTCATTTTCTTCTACATTACAAAATATTTTAATTTAGAATATTACGTACAAGTATATGAAGATATTTTGTGTGTATGTATTTGAATAATTATGTAAGTATAATAAAAATTATTATTGGAAAAAAAAATTGAATTTATGTTTTTTCAGAAAAAAAAATATTCAATGAAAATTATTTGTTCAAGTCAAACATACATACAAAATTATGTGGAAAATTAAGGTCTAAAAGGTTTTCAAATATAATTTTTAAATTTAAATCAGGAAATTAAAAAAATATTTAATGTCATTATTATTTCTAGACATTTTCTAGACATGATCAAATTTCAAATTAAAAATTTTATTAATAGTATTAAAAAATTTTTGAACTTTTCAATTGTACAAGTGAAAACTTAAAAAGTATTCGAAATTAAAAAATTGGAAATTATTCAGAAAATTTTAGGTAAGTAAAGTTGGCACAACAAATTATAATCCATTAAATATAGATGTATGTTCCTACATTCTTTTTCATTATGAAAATTAAATTATTTTTAGCTGTCAGGAAGGGGTCCAAAACCGCACTGTCACCCCCTAGTGGTGGGCCCCGGTAATGGCGGAGGATAAAGGGGTGATTGAAATAATCAAAGTTACGTTCGTGGTCATGTCTCGCGGGGAGCCTCTTACTTTGTGAGTTTCAGCCCTATATCTATACGTCAGCTGGCGACAGGCGTCCCAAGTCAAGGTGAAACAGCATATGCCGATGAGTGCGTGGCTAAGGGGGAGCTTAGTCGTTAGTATGCGGACTCTGGATACCAGGCACCCTCCAGTTTAAACGAGCCTTCCCATGGTTTGCCGGGCTCTGCCATGGGTGACTTTACTTTCCCGCGCTATTCGTGGGACCAAGAATGGAAAGCATAAACAATAACAACAAAAACAGCAACAACAAGAGCAACAAATGTGACAAACACAACAACTGCAACAACTACAACAACAATAACAACAGTGACAATTACAACAACAACAACAATACTAAGGACAACATTAATACAAACCCAGTTAGTGCTCAAGGGTCTTCGGAACCAGAGCTTCTATCGACTGACGCAGAGGAAGAGCTCCCTCTCACGCCAGTAAAGGAAAAGGCGGCGCCTCCGATGGAGACAGATAATCAGGATCCTCTTGGACCTATTATCCAACAAACTGAGAAGGACCTGAAAAGGTTGGACATCAGGGGAAGAAAACAATATTTCTCTGGTGCATCCAAGCGGCGTATCGTGGCTTATATCAGGGATGGAATGTCCCCAGAGGATGCTCGCAGATATGAGAAGGAAAGGCTAGAAAAGCTGAAGGCCTGCGGATCGGGTGTTGTGCCCGACTATCCCCAGAAGAGGGAAAGGTCGGAAAGCAACACCCCTGATGCCGGGCGCTCAAAAAAGAGGTCGATGAAGGGCAATGTTGAGGAAAAGGTCCCTGGGAACATTCCTCAACAAAACCCGAAAATGACCTCTTATCGGGATGCAGTAGCACAGGTCAAGATAGCCATCACTCATAGACTGCATCCAGAGGAAAGGCTATCCGAAGTTCAGATGGGGAAAATCAAAGTAGCCATCATAGATGAAATGGATAAAGTTGTGGACTCTCATCCACAATTCACTGCAACAATCAAAACACCAGGGAGTGGATAGCCAGTGTCTGCAGGAAGATAAAGCCTTGGGACGGTTGCAACGTCGTGGTACTGGATGGCGACTAAATGCCCAAACAGCATGTCTGCGTCACCTAGGGACGTCTCGTACCAAAGGACGAGACAACCGTCAGTTTCTCCAGAGACAAATTTCTAAGTAGGAAAGGGAAGCAAAATTCCAGCCTCAAGATAAGTTCCTGGAGGGTGCTAAGGATGGATAAGGAAAAGGACGGGGGCTGCTCCATTCCGTGGATGATTCCGGATTGGAAGATCTAAGGAAAGCGGAGTTCCGAATTTTCCTGAATTTCTTCCGTGTTACCGCTCGGGTTAAAGGAAGAAAAACATCTCAAGGTGTTGGCGACAGGGCAGGACAAAATAAAAAACCAATGCCCACCGCGACAACGACGAGCACTTCAGGCCAACCAAAAGAGCCGAAAATGGCGGCAAGGGAAACGGAAGCACTATCGACCAGCACGCCAAATAGAAGCGTCCCGGGTGAACCAAAAGGGCTCAACCCCATGGGGAAGCCCGGAACTGATTCAGTATTTGCTGTTGGAGGGGCTAGCGTGGTACCTGGGACGGCAAAAGAGGCTGTGGCAGGGCAGGAGCCCACCAAGATTTGTAAAAAGGCGACAATGGAAAGCAAGGCTCGTGTAAAGCCTTTGTCTAAAAGGCCAAAGCCCATAGAAAATGATATGGGTGTGAGGTGCATCCAAATAAATCTACAGCATGCTAGGGCATCTACTGATGTTCTAGCTCATAGATTTATGAAGGATCACCTCGATATTGCCCTTATCCAAGAGCCTTACATAGTGAAGGATCAGGTTAAGGGCCTAACAGGTGAGCTATTGTATGATAATACAATTGGTGGCAGGCCTAGGGCTATTTAGTAAAAGGCTAACGTATTTTCCCATTCCAGATTACTGTTCTAAGGATCAGGTAGCTGCGTTGGTGAAGGTGAAGTCCTCCGCGGGCTGGACAGAGTTTATTGTGTGCTCATCCTACCTCCCGGGGGACTGTGCCCACCCGGACGAGCAGCTGAGCTAGTGGACTTTTGTGGAAGGAGGAACTTCCAACTTATAATAGAAAGTGATGCCAATGCCCACCACGCCGTCTGGGGAAGCACAATATAAACAAAAGAGGTGAGTGCCTACTTGAATTTATATATAGCAATAAATTAATGGTTATGAATGAGGGCAATAGGCCGACATTCATAAATGCAATTAATGAAGAGGTCCTTGACATCACCCTCTGCACTTTATCGGCAGTAGGGTTGGTGGATGGCATGTCTCAAATGAGACATCCATGTCCGATCATAGGCAGATTAGGTTTGATATCATGGTCTTCGGGGGCCTGGCAGAAGAAATATATCGGGTACCCCAATCCACAGATTGGAGTCAATTCGAAACGCTCCTCATGGATGGGATTGGATCCGTTCCTGCTTCTGTCAGAACGGTGATGGATAACGAACTGGCCAGCGAGGCTCTGACGGCGGCTATTACTAATGCCTACCATGGGAGCTGCCGCGCTAAGCCGAGGCGGAGCAATAGGAAGTGCCCGTGGTGGAATGAAGAGCTTTCAAGGCTTAGACTAAAGACCAGAAAGCTATTCAATAAGGCCAAGGCGTCGGGTTCGCGGGAAGAGTATAAAGACTCACTTACAAAATACAATAAAGAAATTAGGAAGGCGAAGAGAATCTCGTGGAGGGCGTTCTGCAAGGGCATTGATGAACTCTCCAGCAGTGCGCGTCTTCACAGGGTGCTTTCCAAAAAGTATGCTAGCGGGTTGGGCTTAATGGAATGTTCTGATGGCTCCATGACTGAGAACGGAAAGCAGACGTTGGAGCTTATGGCGTCAACGCACTTTCCTGACTCGGAGATTCTTCGGAATCACTCAATTGCGGTCATTGAACCAGTCGGGAAGGCGGGGGTTATTTCGCCCCTCCTGTAGTCCATTGTAGTGGATGATCTAATCGCTGCTCTCAGGGGCTCCGGGGCGTGTGTCTGGGGATACGCCGACGATGCGGCCTTCGTCGTGCGGGGAAAATTTGAGGGCACTTTTTCTGATCTTCTACAGCAAAATTTACGTGTTGCAAAGGCACGTGCAAGGTGGAAGGTGGTGCAAAGGCATTGAGTTAAATATAAATCCAAGCAAGAGCACTTTGGTCGGCTTCACCAGACGCAGAAACAGGGATAGATTAACGAGCTCAATTCTGTTTGGTGAACGTATTAGTTACTCTAGGGAGGTGAAGTTTCTGGGGGTAACCTTGGATGATCGTCTCTCTTGGAATACCCATATAGATAGAGTTATCGGGAGAGCTACGGCGGCCTTGTGGACCTGTAGGAGCTTCATCGGGGGGACCTGGGGAATTAGTCCCCGAATAGCACTGTGGCTATATACGGCCCTTGCTAGGCCCATCGTCACCTATGCATCGATTGTATGGTGCCGTAAGGCTCAGCAGGCGGGTGTGCGGGCTACAGAGGCTGGCCTGCCTGGGAGTGACCGGGGCAATGCGGACGGCTCCCACCGCTGCATTGGAGGTGATGATCGGATTGCCGCCA